GCTCGCCCTCCTGATGACAGCGCCAGGATTCTGGACTCAGCTCCCCAGATTCCTAAGTGTGTCCATCGAGCACTGGCACGCTGCTCCTGCCCTGTGCGCTGTCCCTCTTTGTGCAGACGGACATGCCTGCTGCTTCCTGGGAGTGCTGCAGACAACACTGTGATGTTTCAATGCAGAAAGACCGTGACCGGTACGCTGAATGCGTGCTGATTCTATTCCCAGGCTTTTCACATCTTAGTTGCTGGGGAAGCGTCTGGAAATGGACACCAGGGGACCTCAGTTATACCTGGGTATTTGGTTTTTTTCTAGAAAGAAACACTCATTAACAAAGTTTTTTTTTTTTTTTCTTTTTCAAATCATCATGGAAGCCTTTAAGAAATATGAACAGACTGCGAGTCACGGTAGAAAGGAGGGTGTGAAGGGGAAAGCCAAGGCCTCTCTCCTGCTACCCACCCCGTCCCTGGCACTGGAAGGGCCCGCTGCTGGTGTGTGCCGTTCCACACACACGAGACAATGCCATGCGCTCTCTGCTTCCTAGTGAACATTTACCTTGCACCCCACGTCACTATCTTCACCAATTCCTATTCATTCTTCAGCTGTTATTTAGGCTGTCAGTTTTATTCAAGAAGAGCCTGTGGCTCTCAGGAGGTCACAGGCAGTACACGCAGGTTAGTACCTAACAGGAAAGATGGCGGGCCCAGGGCTGGAATGGGAGCACCCGTGCCTGGGAGGGCGCAGAGCGGAATGTTGTCATCTTGGTGCGAAAGGGAAAGCCGAGGGCCCTTCTCGTGCTTTATGCTACCTAGGTTGGCTTTTTTTTTTAATATCTTATTTTTAAATTTCTTTTATTTGAGAGATGGAGTTATAGAGGGAGAAACAAGAAAGGTCTTCCATTTGCTGGTTCACTTCCCAAATGGCCACAACAGCCAGAGTTGAGCCGATCTGAAGCCAGGAGCCAGGAGCTTCTTCCAGGTCTCCCACACCGGTGCAGGGGCCCAAGGACTTGGGCCATCTTCCACTGCTTTCCCAGATGCATTAGCAGGGAGCCTGATTGGAAGTGCAGCAGCTGGGACTCGAACTGGTACTCATATACGAGATGCCAGTGTTGCAAGCGGCAGCTTAACCGGCTGCACAACAATGCTGGTCCTCTTTTTTAAAAAATATATTGCAGGGCCCTCGCCATGGCATAGTGGGCTAAGCCTCCACCTGCAGCGCCAGCATCCCACATGGGCACCAGTTCATGTCTCAGCTGCTCCACTTCCCATCCAGCTGTCTGCCAATGGCCTGGGATAGCAGTGGAGGATGGCCCAAGTGCTTGGGCCCCTGCACCCACGTGGGAGACCCAGAAGAAGCTCCTGGCTCCAGATCAGCCCAGCTCCAGCTGCTACGACCATTTGGGCAAATGAACCAGCAGATGGAAGACCTTTCTCTCTGTCTCTCCCTCTGTCTGTAACTCTGCCTCTCAAAAACAAAACAAAACAAAAAAAACAAAAACCAACTTGTCTTTAAAAAATGAGTGTGTGTGTGTGTGTGTGTGTGTGTATTGCAGTCATCTAGTCAGAATAAATATACTGGCTTTTCTTCCACAACCACTATATAAGGTCTCCTTTTAAAACACATTTAAGAATACAGGTGACTGAAGATGGCACAACATGGCCACACTCCAACAACTGTGGATTCTGTTCTAACACCAGCACCAGGAGATGTGCTCCGGACGGCACTGCTGGCCCTAGCTGGGTGACACCCATGGGCCCTAGCTGGGTGACACCCATGGGCCCTAGCTGGGTGAGACACCCATGGGGTCAGCTTCCCAACTGCCCTTCCTGCATTTTTTTTAATGATTTATATGAAAGTCAGAGAGGAAAAGACAGAAACAAAGATCCTCTATGTGCAGGGTCACTCCACAGATGGCCATGAGCCAGGAGCTTCATCCGGGTCTCCCATGTGGGTGGCAGCGGCCCAAGCACTTGGGCCATCTTGGGCTGCTTTTCTCAGGTCATTAGCAGGAAGCCGGATTGGAAGTGGAGCAGCTGAGACATTTTAAAGGACGCTGGTGTCACAGGCAGCAGTGTTACCAGCCACGTCACAGTGCTGGTCCCACTTCCTGCATCTTTCCTAAACGCACTTCTCATTATCTGCACCATCCTCGACATCAGCGAGCACCTCAGCTCTGCAGCTGGAGCAGCATCTCTGTAAACAGAGTCAAAACCCTAGTTCTTGGCCGGCGCCGCGGCTCACTAGGCTAATCCTCCGCCTAGCGGCGCCGGCACACCGGGTTCTAGTCCCGGTCGGGGCGCCGGATTCTGTCCCGGTTGCCCCTCTTCCAGGCCAGCCCTCTGCTGTGGCCTGGGAGTGCAGTGGAGGATGGCCCAGGTGCTTGGGCCCTGCACCCCATGGGAGACCAGGAAAAGCACCTGGCTCCTGCCATCGGATCAGCACGGTGCGCCGGTCGCATCGCGCTGGCCGCGGCGGCCATTGGAGGGTGAACCAACGGCAAAGGAAGACCTTTCTCTCTGTCTCTCTCTCTCTCACTGTCCACTCTGCCTGTCAAAAAAAAAAAAAAAAAAAACCCTAGTTCTTGGCCGGCCGCGGCTCACTAGGCTAATCCTCTGCCTTGCGGCACCGGCACACCAGGTTCTAGTCCCAGTCGGGGCGCCGGATTCTGTCCCGGTTGCCCCTCTTCCAGGCCAGCTCTCTGCTGTGGCCAGGGAGTGCAGTGGAGGATGGCCCAAGTGCTTGGGCCCTGCACCCCATGGGAGACCAGGAGAAGCACCTGGCTCCTGCCATCGGATCAGCGCGGTACGCTGATCGCAGCGGCCATTGGAGGGTGAACCAATGGCAAAGGAAGACCTTTCTCTCTGTCTGTCTCTCTCACTGTCCACTCTGCCTGTCAAAAAAAAAAAAAAAATTTGAGGGGCGAATGCTGTAGCTTAGCAGGTAAAGCAGCTGCCTGCAGTACCAGCACCCTATACAGGCACCGGTTCAAGTCCCAGCTGCTCCACTTCCAATTCAGCTCTCTGCTTAGGCCCCTGCACCCTCATGGGAGACCTGGAAGAAACTCCTGGCTCCTAGATTTGGATCAGCCCAGCTCTGGCTGTTGTGGCCATCTGGGGAGTGAACCAGCGGATGGAAGACCTCTCTCTCTCTCTGCCTCTAACTCTGCCTTTCAAATAAATAAATAAATCTTTAAAAATGTATTTTGAAATAGATCCCACCCACTAGTTCACTCCTCAAATGCTTGTGACAGCTGGGGCTGGGTCAAGGCGGTCACCGGGAGCCTAGGGCTCAATCCAGTCTCCCACAGGGGTGGCAGGAACCCAACTACTGGAGCCATCCCGGCTGCCTTGCAGGTCTGCATCAGCAGGAAATGGAGTTGGAAGCTGGAGCCAGGCTGCAAACCCAGGCACTCTGAGGGGACCCGGGCGTCCCATCCACTAGTCCTGAGGCCTACGTGCTTCCCGGAGCCCCAGGCGTCCCATCCACTAGCCCTGGGGGCTACGTGCTTCTGGAGCCCTGGGCGTCCCATCCACTTGCCCTGGGGGCTACATGCTTCCCGGAGCCCCCCCCAAGCGCCCCATCCACTAGTCCTGGGGCTACGTGCTCCCAGAGCCCCAGGCATCCCATCCACTAGCCCTGGGGGCTACGTGCTTCCCGGAGCCCCAGGCATCCCATCCACTAGCCCTGGGGCCTACGTGCTTCCCAGAGCCCCAGGCATCCCATCCACTAGCCCTGGGGCCTACGTGCTCCCTTAGCCCGGGGCGTCCCATCCACTAGTCCTGGGGCCTACGTGCTTCCTGGAGCCCCGTGCGTCCCATCCACTAGTCCTGGGAGCCTACGTGCTTCCCGGAGCCCAGGGCGTCCCATCCACTAGTCCTGGGGCCTACGTGCTTCCCGGAGCCCCGGGCGTCCCATCCACTAGCCCTGGGGCCTACGTGCTTCCCGGAGCCCCGGGCGTCCCATCCACTAGCCCTGGGGCTACGTGCTTCCTTCCCGGAGCCCCGGGCGTCCCATCCACTAGCCCTGGGGCCTACGTGCTTCCCGGAGCCCCGGGCGTCCCATCCACTAGCCCTGGGGCTACGTGCTTCCTTCCCGGAGCCCTGGGCGTCCCATCCACTAGCCCTGGGGGCTACATGCTTCCGGTGTTCTGAGACCTCCTCCTGTCCCCTGGGAAGGCTCTAGGTCAGCCGTCTCACAGACGGTATAGAGCAGCGGTGCCCTTAGCACACCGCGCCAGGCAGCCGGCTCCGTCCCGGGGCAGTGCGGCGGCGTTCATCCTCGCCCTGTTAGCATGGTGGTCATCAGACTGCGCCATTAAAACGTGGATTTTCCCTTCCGTCATTTGCGATCTAGGGAGTGACCAGTGGTCATTAACGATCTAGGGAGTGCCCAGTGGAGTCTGGGTCAATGTCAGGTTTCCCCAAGCTCTCTCAAGACGTTTAGCGATCATTCGAGAGCTCCGACGTCGCAGCAAACGGCCAACCTCTGCTCTCAGCTTTAGGCCGAGAGAGTGGGCGCTCGATGGGATCTCGAGCTGCACACGGGAAGCCCCGCCATCGCTGGGGCGGACACAGGCGGACGGCGGACTCGGCGCTCCACCGAGTACGGGGACCTCCTGACACCCTCATCTTGCAGAGAGGAAAACCGAGGCGCCAGGGCGTTGATGGCCACCGAGGGAAGACGGCTTTGCAAGCCTGCACTGCAATAGCCATCCCGTCTGCCTGTCACCCTCCCTAAACGTGGAGGGGAAGCGACCACCGCCGGGCGTGCACCTCGCGCTCCATCACGCCGGGAGAAAGGGGCGTGTGCCCACCGGCTGCTCCGCCCCCGGGCCCGCGGCGCCCCAGGGCCAGAGCCAACCCCGGTCCGCGCGCGCCCCGCACTCGCGGCGACGCGCCCTCCCCGGCCCCCAGCACCTGCGCGGGAAGCCCCTGGGGCGCCCCCCGCCCCGCCCAGGCCCCTCCCGCAGACGGGACCGGCAGGCCCGCCCACCCTCCACTTACCCCGGCGTGATACACCTTATTCGCTCTTTTAATCTTGATGTCCAGGGAGGTCCCCATCTCGGATTCTCGGCAGCGGCCGCCGCTTCCGGCCCCGCGTGACCCGAGGGGAAGCCGAGTAGCCCGGGGCCCTGTCCCCGTCCCGCCCCGCCGGCAGTGGCGTCACGTGACCTCGCGCCCTACGTCCGTTCGACCCACGCCTTCCTCTTTCCGGCGCAGGGGCGGGCGACCGCTCGCCCCACCCCCGTCAAGCCTGTGAGGCGGGACCTGACTAGCACCGCCCCTTCCGCCAGGCCCGTCACATGCCGGAAATGCACCCCCCCTTGGCCCACGTTTAGGGGAGGAAGGGAGGACTTCTAGACTCTCCCGGCGTGCCCCGCGGCAGGGGCGGGGCCGAGGCCATCTCGAGGGCGCCCTCGCAGTAGCAGTAGAAGCAAGGCTCCCGTCATGCCATGCGGCGCAGGCTCGCAGGGGCATGTGACTCGCCGATGTCCTCTCCCCAAGTCTCCTCACTCTCATCTCCAGCCCTGCCCCCCGTGTCCCTGAAGTCCTGAGGAGCCGGCGCCTCCTTTATCCATCCGCAGCTCGGCTCCGCTCCCGGCCCGTCCCTCGGGAATGGTTCCGGGCACCCGCAGGGGTGCGGCCGCCGGGTGCGCGCGCGCGCGCGACCCAGCGAACCCTGATTGGCGGGCGGCTGGGCTGCCAGGCCCCCGGCCCGAGTCGGGGTGTCTGGAGGCTCGGGGTGACCCCGCTCGGCTCGGAGCCGCGGCGCCCACTCAGCTGCTCGCGGGCGGTGTGGGCGTCCCCCGGCGCGCGCCCGGGACGCGGCGCCGGCGATTGCGATGGGGCCGGGCCGGACCCCACAGCCTCGGAGCCGAAGAGTCCCTGCCTGCTCCGTGGCTTCCCAGCGGCGACTGATGCAAACAGACGCAGGACACTTGTCGTCCTTGCGTGCTTTTTTGGAGGTAGGGGCACCAAGGCGGCTTTTAGGGACCGTTTGCATTTCAGTGATGCACCTAGACCAACCCTCCAGATTCAACTGGGGAGAAATCCCTCCCGGTGCAATGCCGGGAGCCCACAGCCCAGTCGCCTGCTGGATGCTTCGTCTTCCGCGAGACTGTGTGGACTGCACACGGGGTGCTGCTGCGGTCCGAAAAGCCGCGGTTCCAGCTGTTAGCCGTGGGTTCGGTTTGCTAAGCCGGCCCCGTGCCTCTGTGTGTTGGCTTCCAAACACAAAACACTCCGTTTTCTCCAAGCGCCTCCTGTCTCCATCTTTTGCATCCCTTGTTTCTGACCCACAAAATTGAGTCCATGTCAAAACGGCAGCTTCAGTGGACCCTGCTTCCTACGTGGAGGTGAGACGGTGGAATCGGGCCGGGCCCCCGGACGCTTCCCGAGGGTCCGCCTTCAAAGCTTGGCCGCTTCCACGTGGACGTGAAGAAGAGAGAAGATGCCCCCCAGCCCCGCGTTGTCTTAGCTGACCCCTGCGTCTCTGCACAACCGGCCTTCGTTTCAAACTCCTTTCATGGACGGAAGGCCTGGAAGAGCCTCTGTGCCCCACGCAGCTCCATGGAAGGCCTCGAAGAGGCCTTAGAAACGCGGGTGGGAAATCTGTGTGATGAGAAAGCTACATGGATTTCAGATCTTTCCGCACCAAAACAAACACCTTGTAATTCCTTTTTCCCCCAAACTTTTGGAAGTGCTTTTGTCAGGCAGGTAACCAGGCATGAGAGACTGGGGAGGAGCCACAGACTCCTCCAGGGGTCAAACCAAGGATCCTGGGCTCCCCACCCCCAACCCCTGCCAGGACTCAGCCAACACTGCCCACTGTGCCGGTTCACTAGGGTGAAAGTACCCTGATAAAGTGGAGTTCAGCCAGGAGCTGGCGTTGTGGCCCGGCAGTGCCATGTGAGCACTGGTGCAAGTCCACGCTGCTCCACTTCTGATCCAGCTCCCTGCTAACGCACCTGGGAAAGCAGTAGAAGACGGCCAACAAGTGCTTGGGCCCTGCACCCACGTGGGAGACCTGGCCCCAGCCCTGGCTGTTGCGGCTGTTTGGGGAGTTAGCCAGCAGAAGGAAGATTCTCTCTCTCTCTCTCTCTCTCTGTGTGTTTACCTCTGCCTTTCAAATGTTTAAAAGGGGGAGAGGGGCTTAGACCAGATGTGCAGAGAGCCCAAAGATACGCAACTCCCTGATGTCAATCACAAATTTCAATCATGAGCATCACGGCCAGCTCACCAGTGAACACCCTAAGCTTTAGGGATAAAAGCCTCAAACCAGGGAGCACGGGTGCCGTGTGCACCCTCAACTGGCCCATTCTTTCCTTGGACTACACGTTAATAAACTTTGCCTTCCTATCCCTACTTCCATCTGCCTGAACTGTAGCTCATTCTCCATAGGCAAAAAAAAATCACAGGAAGCCAGCCGCCACCGGTGACCCCCTCATATCGCCTCTCCCCGCTGTCAGCACCACCCAGCGCCTTCGGGGAGAGCGCAGCAAGACCATTAGAGAGCATTTTTCTTCTACAAGGTCCACGTGACTCGCAGGAAAGACGCGTCCAGGAAAGGACTGGACTCAAGTGTGCCTCGGGATCTCTCTCTCTACCCTCCCGCCCCTCTGTCATCTTCTTCCTCTGAAATACAGAAGGGACCTACTAGCAGCAGTGCCGATGGAACCGGTCGCCAACAAGGAAGGAACACGGTGCTCCCCTTCCGGTCGGTTCCACCGATACCTGGGAGAGAGAGTTGCACAGCCTCCCTCGGGTCCGTCCCTTCCCTTCAGGTGCACCGTGCTTCCCGCGAGACTGATGGCCTCCTTTCGTGCCTTCCCCTGCCTTCCCAAACAGACTGGGAAGGAGGGAATTGAGCAAGTGTTTGGGGGAAGCGGGGCTGGATCTGTGAGTTTGTATGGAGTCCTGTGGAAAGTGGCCCCATTGCTAGGTGGATTTCGTTAGAAGATGGGGGGCTGTGCCTGTCGTGAGCCTAGGTGCCAATTCTGGAACCACAGGAGAGGGCCATGAAGCAGCCCTAAGTGGTTTCCATGGTTCTCAGTGGTAAGGGTTGAAGTGTGTTCCCTACACTGCCAGCACTGCTGGTCTCAAAGCTTCAGCTCAGTCACTCTCCAAAACTCCCCTTAGTTCAGGAAAACCACCCTGCCCCAGGTCATTCATGCTCCATTCTCAGGGCACCGCGAATTAACAACTCATTGATCCAGGAAATGAAAGCTGCTTCCCTCACCGCAGTTTAGGACTCCGAAGGACCCTTCCACCACGGCATTGGTACCCATTGCTGTGTAACGGATTACCCCAACATTTAGCAGTTTAAATAACAAACGTTATCTCCAAGAAGCTGTGGGTCAGGAATGCAGCCATTGGGGCCATTTGAGGAGTAAGGCAGCAGGTGCATGACCTTCCCCTCCCCCCATAAACAACCAAGCCGCTGTCCTATTTCAGTGAACTGAGCCTGATCAAAACTACCAAAACTCTAACCGCCTGGCAGTTAGACGAACTTCTCCAAAATGTTAGATCAAGGAAGACAGCAACAAGAAAAATACCCTAAGTGGCAAAAAATTAGCAACGTGTGAATCCTTCATACCAAGACCTATACGGTGGGGAGTGTGGGAGCTGCCAAGTAGGACCACCTGGGACACCCACATTCTCTATCTCAGTGTCTGGGTTTGGTCTAAGCTCCAGCTGCCAATTCCAGTTCCCTGCCCTGGGAGGCAGCAGGTGATGGCTCAAGTTCTTGGGTCCCTGCCAGTCATATGGGAGACCTGAACTGAGTTCCTGGCTCTTAGCTGCCATCTGGCCCAGCCCCAGCCCCAGTCATTCCAAGCATTTGAAGACTGGGACAGGAGATCGGTTCTCTCTCTCTCTCTCTCTCAAATAAAATAAAAAAATGAACACCTTAAGAAAAACATATGACATACAGCCAAAGAAGGGATCCTCTAAAAAATTATTAGAAAACAGTTTGTAAATGCTGTATCTGGGACTTGCTTCAAATAACCGCAGGAGGAGAAAAAGGGGCGGGGGGGGGAGTTTCAGCTGGGCCCTGGGATACTGGAGGCAAGTGGTGCTCACTGCTGAACTGGGTGTCGCCGCACGGCTTGTACTGCGGCATCTTCTCCATCTCTTTGTTTACTTGAATTCCATCATAGCAGACAAGACACATGCACAGGGGGTCGATGTTTTTGAGAGATGAAGCTAACATATATTTTTAATTCCTTATAATCTCTGGTAGGTGCCCCCAACTTTCCCTCCACCAAGTTTGCACTCTAACTCACAAAAGGGGTACTAAAGAACACTTTTTCTAGCTGGGAAGATGACCCAGAGGTCAAAGTGGAAGGCGTGTGGACAGCTGCGGGAGCTGCAGAGGATCCAGGGGCGTGGTCTGCCTGCCCGTGCCTGCAGGGCTGTCCCAGCTGGGACAGGACTGAAAACCCAGAAAACTCAGTGGGTGCCAGGCCGAGAGGTGGGCAGGATGAGGAGACCCCGGGTCAGCTGGGGGGGCTCAGGTTTACTGTGGCACTCCCTCCCGTGCCGTGCTGCCAATTAGTGCAGTGCGGGCACTGGCAGACCTCGTGTTTTGAACCATACCCCCCTCTAGCCTGGCAGAACACATTGAGGTGGAGTTTGGGGAGGGAAAGAGAAGGCAGAGAAAAATCCCCAGCCTAGGGTCAGCGCTGTGGAGCAGCCAGTTATCACCCTGGCTTGAAGCGCTGGCGTCCCATATGGGCGCCGGTTCGAGTCCCGGCTGCTCCTCTTCCAATCCAGCTCTCTGCTGTGGCCTGGGAAAGCAGTAGAAGATGGCCCAAGTCCTTGGGCCCCTGCACTGTGTGGGAGACCTGGAGGATGCTGCAGGCTCCTGGCTTTGGATCAGCGCAGCTCCAGCTGTTGCGGCAATCTGGGGAGTGAACCAGTGGATGGAAGACTTCTCTCTCTCTGCCTCTGCCTTTCTATGTAACTCTGTCTTTCAAACAAATAAAAATAAAATCTTAGAAAAAAAAGAAAGAAAGAAAAAGCCCCGGTCAGACTGATCTTCCCGCTGGAGAGCAGAATTAGGTTAATTTATAGAGAAATTAATACTGTTCCTTCCCGACCATTGCTGTGTTGTGCCTGTCAATTTTAAAACAGCTGCATATACAACAATTAATAGGCATTTTATTTAATAGCAACAGCCAGTTAGAAAATAG